CTTTTGCACAAAGAGTTGATCAGCATTGTATGTTGTTCAATTTGAAGTTGGTTTATCCTTTACCTGAGAATGTAAAGCTTTTGCACAAAGAGTTGATCAGCATTGTATGTTGTTCAAATTGAAGTTGGTTTATCCTTTACCTGAGAAGGTAATGCTTTTGCACAAAGAGTTGATCAGCATTGTATGTTGTTCAAATTGAAGTTGTTGAGAGTTTACTGCACAGCTGGCTTATTGGTTGTTGTTTACTTTTGCAGCTAGATTGATCTCAAAGAGCTTTGAAAGGTTTGAAAGATAGGCGCAGTAGCTTGTTGGCATTGGCATGGCAGAGGAAGAGATCCCCATGGGCCAAGTCACTCCTGAGGAGAAGGACGATGGTGTAGTTGAAGAGCCCAGTACACCTGTGAAGCAAAGGCCAGCTTCCAAAGCAAAGACCCCAAAATCCAAGAGCCCAAAAGCAAAGAGCCCTAAAGGGAAGAAGCCCAAAGCAAAAGGAAAGAGCAAGCCAAAGCCAAAGCCAAAGGCAGGCTCTTTAAAAAGGCCTGCTGCCAGTGGAGAAACCGTACAGCCAAAGAAGAAGCCAGCAGCTCATGGCTGGGCAGCAGGGTTGCAGGAGGATCAGGAGGAGGAAGCACCAGAAGTTGAAGAGGATGAACCAAGAGAATGTGGAGGAGGAGGAGGAGGAGGAGCAGGACAATGCAGACTTCTTCGAGTGCGATGAGGCCAAGAAGGACAGGTCGAAGGACAACAAGTTCAAGGCCTTGTTGTCTGGGGGCTCTCTGCCAGACTATGTTGCGCAGGCTTGGAAGAAGACCTTGAGCATGAAGAAGGGACGCACAGAAGAACAGCGCAAGATAGTGAACCAAGTCCTGGACAGGACAAAGGATGGAAAGCTCATGGTGCTTATACCCAAGATATTTTTCTTGTGTTTGTCTTTCCTGCGTGCTTATACCTGAGTGTGTGTGCTTGTAGTTTTATCCAAGTGTCTCTACTTGTGGCTATATGTTTTACAAATTACTTTCTTCAAAAGATGTGTTTTAGATGCAGTTTTGAATATTTGCAAATCAAAACGTAATGAAAAAATAGGAAAACCCTTAGTGAAGACCAACCTAAATAGATTTAGGTTGTACCTAAATCAAATTTACATTTACTAACCCATTTACACTTTTTGCCACCTAAATTCATCAATTTACGTAAATCCAATGAAAATGTAAATTTACTAATTTCGGTGACTTAGGGCAGCGGATTTGGAGCTGGTGCGCAATGACAGTGTGCTGCTGTTTCGCATGTTGGCCCTCTACGTGCTATGTGAGGATGTTCGTCTTCCGGCTGAACCTCAAACAGCTCTAGCAATCGAGCAACCCGAAGATCCTGCTCGCTACCGCCCTGCCGAGGAGGTGGAAACCAAGCGCTTTATGTCCATTTGGCGCACCAAGGAGTGGCAGGCTTTTGCAACCAGATATCAGGTGCGGCTGTTGCACTTTGATCAAGGACCAATGGGTCATGTCAAAAGAAAACCCAACAACGTTGGCCGTGGTGCTCAAAGAACTTCAGGTCCTGAATGAAGTGAGGGGTCCTCCGAGTGGTGTTGCTCCTGAAATCCAACCTCCTGACCGTCGCGATACGACGATGCAGCAACGCTGCGAAGACTCCAAACAGTGGGCTGCATGGGCCCCTGGCCTGAAGGTCGCCATCGTTTTGGCCTTGCAGGGGTGGTTGAATCAGGGCTCAACTCCATCGCTGGAAGCGGCTCTTCGCCCTTTGACTCCGGCGGCATTGGACAGTTGGAAGCAGCACTACTTGAACGATCACATGCCTGCTCGCCGTGATTGCAAGCATTGTGTCCGCTCTGCCGCTCGGAGTAAGCCTCACAAGAGGATCGTGCACCCTGAAGCCTACACATTGAGTGTGGACTTGTCTGGCAAGATGGCCCCAGGTTTGGATCAAAGCAGGCACCAATGCCGCTACATGATGGTCGCGGTCTACACGTTCCCTGTTGACAGCCATGGTCGTCCACTGGCTGAAATGGAGGGTGGTCGAGCGTTGGATGGTCACGCTGATCACGATCTACCCCCAGGTGATGATCTTGAGTTTCCTCAACCCAACCTCAACGAGGAAGATCCTGGTAATGCCTCGCCGTGTGAGGAGCCGGTTGATGGGGCTCTGATTCCGGGGGAGGAAGCTGCGCTCCGAGCGTGTCAAGCATCGCACGCAGCTTGGCATCAAATGGTGGAGAAGTCCAAGGACGTGATGGTCAAGAACTTGACCTTTGTGGAGGTCCTCAATGGGAGAGCGGTGCACCACATCCTTCCCGCTTTAGCCCGGATCTACGCTCGGCTGAGAAGCTTGGGTCTGCCAGTGCATCGCATTCACTGCGATCGTGCTCGCGAACTGATTTCTGCTCCGGTTCGCAGGTGGTCATTGGACCGAGGAATAGTCACCACCTTGACAACTGGTGACTCTTACAAATCAAATGGCCGGGTTGAAGGTGAATTGGGAGAGGTCAAAAAACATGTCCGCACCATCGTAGCCTCTTCAGAGCTTGGTCTGGATAAATGGCCCCCCTTGGCAGCTATCCACATCGGCGAACGCCGCCTCAGGGGACAGCTTCGCAGTTTAGGCTATCCTTCAGGTCCACTACTGAAGTTTGGAGCAAAAGCTTATGCCCTCAAGAAGTCTTGGCAAGAAAGGTTGGCGTGAGGTGCGGGGCGAGGTGATTGTTCTTGGACCTGCCATCCAGTCTTCGTTGACAACCACCAGCTACTATGTCCAATCCATTGACTCACAAAGGTTCTTCTATACCGATGATGTGGTGGTTCCTGCGGCTGACCAGCCAGAAGCTAATGAGGCCCTGGTTCATCTTCCTGGGGTGGGTGATGCGCCTCCAAGGCCTATGTGGGATGGTGGTGTTCCGCGCCGTCGTTTGCGGGACAAAACAGCAGTGCCACAACTTTCCATGCTGCACATGGAGGGGGAGGGGGTGGCAGCAACCTGGATGCACACATGGCTTGCGGCTCATCGAGACTGTTTTGATGCACTTGCTCCGAATGCTCCGAGTCTCTTTTCTTTGGAATTTAGCAGTGACAGTTGGACACTGGAAACACCCGAGAGGACGACGTCCGAGGAGGAGGAGTCTCAGGGGGGTTCGAACTGCGGTTCCATGGAGGTGGACTCGATCGGAGGAGGGGAGAAGGAGGGGCGACGGCATGACGAAGCCTCTCCTTGGCCAAAGCTTTGCTGGGTTTCTGGGCGATTTGGGTCTGAAAGCGCCTGAGGCAAAGATTCAAAAGTTGACACAGGGTCAACATCCACCTCCTGCGCCAGATCGACATTGGGCAGTCAGAGCAATTGTGGCTGGCGGCGCTATGCTTCGTGCGGCTGAAGCCCAAGCAAGCGAAGGTCCTGATTCGACTTTTGGGATCCTCTGGACCTGTGGTTTAGTTCTGGTTCTCATCGGGGCAATCTGGGTGAGCAAGACAGCTTTTCTCTCGTTGCGATGCTGTCTGCGGAGATTGCATGGAGTTGCCAGTGGGCCACAGGACCAAAGTGGTCCATATGAGGATGATGAAGGGCTCCAATCTACGTCCTTGAGGGTGAAGCGGGCAAGAACAAAAGGTGGAGGCCGGCAGTCTAGCGAAGAGGAGTTGGGAATCATGAAGGAGGAGGAAACAGAAGGTGAAGAGCCCATGAAGTCAACTCGCTTCAGCAAGATGGGCACAAGAAGGGGCGAACTGCCGGATGATGAGCAGTTTGAAGATCAAGAACTCACTTCATCCCGGAGGAGCTCTTTGCCCAAGACTTTGCGGCGTCGATCGGGCTCTACGAGCGGGGCTACATCCTCGCGAATGTCGGGGAGATCGACGGGCGAAGCAGAGTGCGATGCTGCTCGAGCGGCCAGCGAGGCTGCGGAATCAGCACAGAAAGCGGCTGAGGCGGCAAACCATGCTGCGGAGTGCGCTGAGGTGGCCACTGAGATGCTTCAGCGGGCTATGGCAAAGCCAAAAGCTCAGCCGATCCAGAGGATCAGCAGCGGTTCAGAAAACCCTTGGAACGGCTTTCAACACCTCCACGCCAAAAGGGGGTGGAGCCAAGAGAAAATGCGTGCTGAGTACTATAAGATGAAGAGCCAAGGAAATGTGCCTTGAGCTGGCTCGTCTTTTTCAGCCTCAGATTCCGTCGACAGAAGACGGAATGGGGGAGTCTGTTGCGGTGTGATCACCGGATCGAATACCGAAGGCACTTTTGCTTAGGAGAAAAGAAGCATGCGGTCCGGTTTTCGAGCTTGGAATTCCCTTTCTGTTCTAAGTAAAAAGCATTTCACTTATTAAATTCTTTTCTTAGAGTCCCCTTTCTGTTCTAAGTAAAAAATATCATTTCATTTCCTTATATATACGGGTCAAAAAAGAACCCTTAGTGGGCGCAAAAAGAACCCTTCGCACATAAGAAACGAGCGGAAATGAAACCCCCCACAGGGTAGAAAAGAAACCCTCTCTGCCCCGAAACGGGTCAGGCATCGCGCAGACAAGAAACCCTCTACGGGTATATAGAAACAATCCTGCACACTTATGGGTAGAAACAAGCCGGTGCGTCCCGAAACGGGTCCAAAAAGAACCCGCACGTCCGAAACGGGCGGAAAAGAAACTCCCCACGGGTATGAAAAAAAAACAACTGTCCCGGACCAGACATATGCGGGTGCAATCCTGGCAGCACGCTTGGCTGACAGTGTAAGTCCTTTAGGCTGCTATGCCACAGATGGAACCTTGAGCCTCTGCGCCTCCCTTGCCGGAAAACGGGTGGAAAAGCCTCAAGCTGATTCAATCTACTGTAAACCGAGCTGCGTTGCGCTTGTTGCACCAGTGTTGCTGCCTGAATTGTCACACAGCCCAATGGCCACATGGGCTTGGGCTCAAGTCATAAATCAAACGGCTTTCTTGCTCCTAGTAGTAAGGCCAGGAGCCCCTAGTAGCATCCTTGTTACTGGTAAGGTGTACAGTAAGTTCTTAGCGTCCCATCTAGACATGGCCAAAGAGTGGAACCGCGCGACCAAACGGAGGCCTGGGCTGGTCGTGGGCCTCGGAGACAGACATCCGTGTGGCAATCTGCACACATTGGAAGCTGCTCTGGACAGCTCACAAGTGTCAGTTGTCAAACACCGGATTGCTTAGGACAACAGCTTGTAGTTGTACCAGCAGTCAAGCAGCACTAGCACTTACAGACGGAGGCAAGGACGCTCGCCCGAAACTCTCGCCGACTAGCACAACCAACTGACCTGTGCACCTGCTGCACCTTATACCGTAGCTGTTGAAGCCTTGGTGTGTTCTGGGTTTCAATACAAAGAGTGAATTGCCTTGCCTGCGAGAGACGTCACGGCTGCAGCTAGAATAAGCAAGTGACCCTATTGCGCACTTCTTGCAGGCGTATGTCCACGTGACACACACACAGACACACAGACTGCTTGCACTCGCTTTCTTGACTTTCTGATGAGCATTGTGACACCATGGCCGTTGCCCGAAAGCAGATCGCAAATGATTCGAGGCCACGAGGGGCGACAGAAGCCCTGCCCCCCAAAAAAACACTACCTGAGAAGCTGCAAAACGAAAGCCAGCGCTTCCCCTTTTCGACAACTGTGCGTCGAAGCAATCAGAGAAGAGGCAGTGCTGCAAGGCCTGAAAGAAAGCAGGGAGCGACAAACACGTGTGGAGAGTGAGGGGAAGTA